TTATGTGCTGTTTAGGTTTTTGGTGAAACATCGACCTTGTCTTTTCAATAATGACAAGTTGAGCTGCATAAAATATCCTGTTTATGGCTAATTTAAGTCTCCGTTTCAACATGAGACTATTTGAGTCTCCTCTAAGTGGTAACATATGGTAAACTCGCTTTTTGGTTGCCAGAAGCGTCATAGGTCTAATCGTATTGCAACCCTTCCAGCGGTTTATGAACTTTAATGAATAATCATTATTCATTAACGCATCAGTTAAGAGCTTTGTTTATATTACGTTACCACCTATTTATTACAGTATGTTAGGAAAATCACTGTATTTAAACCAGTCACCTGTTCGATTATATGATAACTGTCACAGTTAGCTATTGGATCACTGTATTGAATTCGATAATTCCCTTGATGCTCGCATCAAAATGATGTGCTTAATTTCATTGTTTTGTTATATTCACATTTACAACTGAAGAATGTCACAGATATCGAAATCATTATGTATGTTACAGATGTAAACCTCAAATTTTACATCTATTAAATGTTGCTTCATTCAGAAATGTTCACGGTAGTTAGCAAGTTGCAGTCATTTCTGGTTTAGTATTTCTATGTATGAAACATTTGTGCATTGATGAAATATAAGCTCAGTATTGAAAGAAGACAGGATTCCAGCACTATCACGAGTTCAATCACCGACTTGATATGTTATTTCGCGTTTTTTATCAAAGTGTTCATGACAGATAACTGATGAACCGCCAACTAGTAACAGCCCCGAAATGCTCCGGTACGACCGAGAGTTGGGAGAGTCAGTTCTCCCTCTCCAAATGCTCTCACATATAGCCACTACCAGGGAAGTCCTACTCATCGCCTTCTCGTACCACGGGTGCTGTTTACAAAATTGAGAGGACGAGAAGCGAATGTCCAGCGCTTTAACCGGGTTGGTGGACAAGGCGAATCCACCTAGGAGAGTTAGAAAACCCTGATTCCAAACCAATGGTGCACATGGGCTCCAGAATCCTGGGAGAACAAATGGCGTATGAACCAATCGTTGGTGACCGGCTACCATGGGACTGCATCTCCTTACGATGCTTCACTGCGTTGTGGATCAGATCTTTAGGTGAAAGGCTCCGGATGTGGTCTCCTAAGAAAAGCACCTGCTTCAGTTTGGGCACCTGGTCAGTATCTCAGCTCTCACACAAATCAAATGAGATTTATATGGCGCATATGTATCTGGTGCTTCCTTGTACCAATATTTATGTGTTTATATAATAAATAAAATTATAAAAATTAGTAACAACGTTAGACGTTACACAAATGTGCATCGATTCACGTCTTCATGCATAACATAAAAATGAGGTAAAAGAACCATGAGGCATATCTGAGTAGTAACAAAAATAGCAGTATCGGTGACGGCAACAAAATACATATAAATATTATGGTTGGGAAGAATAAAATAAATAAATAAATAAATCATGCGAAATACGACAAATTAAGTTCTAAGTTAATTTAACAATTAGTACTCATACTGATTTCAAGATATATTATCGATGGTCTTTAGTCACTCACCAACCACGATTATTGTGTGCACATCAATTAGGTAACCCAATAGTACGTCTTATTTGAAGACTAGCACTGCGATTCGAATAAAACAATGGATAATGGTAGGGCTAACAGAACGAGTTCAGGTGATGATGGTTCACAACTTCATCAACCGATTTCACATCTCGAATTATCACCGTATGTATGAGGACACCACAATTTACTCAGCTGTCCTAACAAACTGCGGTAAAGCATTGAAGGATTTCGTGATCAAAGATTAGTGAACTGATATTTCCGCGTCGTTTGAAATCAAGGAGTCGCAACAATTCTCACGACTTGGAGTAAGGATATCAGTTCATGTTAAGTCTATGCGTTCCTTAAATAAATATCATACTCAAATCACATAGTGTCATGATGAATAAAATATCACACTGGGAAACAAAAGCACATATCACATTGAATAATCATCATATTGAATTAAGAAAATGGAAGTAATATTGAGCAAGAATCACAGTGAGTCTCTTTATCCTGTCCTATCATGAACAACACACACGTTCATTCATCAGACGCCAATCCACGAATTCAGATAACGTATCTTTCAAACGTATTTTCAAACAATCACATTCACTACACACTTATTAGTCAAACTAGTGTTGGAGTAACATCATGCAATAGGAAAGAGAGGAACACATCGTTACACAAAAGCAACTCCAAATTCTGTATTTTATCAACATCTTAGTCACTCAGAAATTCATCGATTGAATACAATGGCTCAACGAGTAATGCACCGACCTCAAATAGCTAGTCTGCACCTACAAACATGGCTCAGACTATTAGTCAATGACTGGTTTTGTGTTTTAGTTTTGTTGCATTAAACTTTCTTTCAGCTAACTCTTACACTAGTAAACATCACCGTTTGAGATAGGTGATGATTAGACTGCTTAATTCATGTCATAACCACCTCAGTTGAAGATTTGCAATCCCTTTCAAAGCTTTGACTCCACTGCCCAGTAAATTATACATAAACATCGAGTCGCTCACTTGATTGTTCAGTGACCCATTAGGAATGTTTACAAGTCATCTTTTATTATAAATGCGCAACCTACTCTTGTCTTCTACTGTAATGTGAAATTTTTTAATGAACATAGAGTATTACAGAACGGACTTCTGTTCAGTACGCTCGCCCTTTAATTGTCTAAACTACATCAATATAGATGCGAGTTGACAATAGTCAACTGACCTCCTGGAATCAGTGCGAAAATTTGGTTAGACATCGACCCTCTAGAGTTGATGAGACTATCATGACAATAAAGTAGTCAATACATTCAACCACTTAACTCGTTACTGTTAATTTAGGCATTGACGCAGAAAGGTTCTGAAGAACGACGTTAAAAGGACTTCGGGGTCAACCTTTCATGTTCAGATGCTCTACATCGTTTTCTAAACCTCACTACGGGTCCAAGAACTTGTGCCAGTTACTTATTCCTGTGGCCTGGAGATTAAAGTTAACTGGAGGGTAGCTGGAAGTTGGTTGAACTATTTTATAGTGTCCTGCTCATCCGTCTAGCCTCATGGACTAAGCGTGCATAAAGGCTCAGTTTCTTTTTAAGACAGTCTTATTGACAGCTAGCTTGTGGATAACTGTTGTCTTGATTGATAGAATAGTTATCTCATGTTATCTATCTCTGTATCCGCTTCCATTCGTTCAAATTCACTCATCACACCTCACGATAATTGCGTAAACTTTTAGTTGCCCTACGTTTAAATTGTCGTCGAATTTCATAATTCTCCGTGTCTTATGGAATGATTTTTCGAGCATCTATCAATTTTGAAGATGGCACCAAAATTCACCGTTCTTTGTCAATTTTTTGAATTAAGTTGGTGTTAGATATTGCTGTTGTGATTACAGCTGTTTGGTTATGATGTTGTTTCTAGAGGACGACATTTCTTCCTCATGAGCAATTGGAAAATATTTAATTCTTCAATGAATTCATTCTTGATCAATTCATTTTCTAGTTGATATCTAATACATCTTTCTATCGTGCTCTCTCACTGAAGTGTGATCGAAGTCTAAGTATATGCTCTTAGAGAAGCGACAGTCCTCTGACGAGCCTCTCCAACTATGGTTGATGGGCATATGATCTATTAGGCTTCAATGATGTTTTGATATCGGCCTAACCAGATTAAACATTGTCTGCTATTATGCTTGAAATCTGTACTTGCTGATAATAAACGTTTGTCTTATTTTAATTCCAACATATCGTCACCGTTATCTACTCGTTGGACTAGAACATCCAAAAATTCATCTATTTGCTTTTAAGTTTGATTTTCTATTATAACATTGGCATTGAGATTAAGGGATACCATTACTACATTCTAGAAACTGGCTGTCTAACCAATCATAAATAAGTGGGAAGTCTCAACATATTATTAAGTAGAATATAGGAGATAGGCCTTTAATTCATTTATGCTAATTTGTTGGTGGAAACAAGGTGTAGATGACCTGTGAAATAGGACTTTAAAAGTAAGTGAATAACGGGATGGCCTTTGAAGCGAACAGTACTGGGTTCAAGTGCTAGAGTAAATATCAATTATGGGATGCAGGTGCATTCAGCTGATCAGTCCCAAATGGGACGAAACGCGTGTCCTGGACTCCATTGCTAGCCACCATCCATCTTTAGTCCCCAGAAGACCTAGCATGGTTAAGTGTGGGGAGAGTCACCTCTCCCTCTCCGAATTCTCTCTTATGGCTACGCTTATACAACCAGAACCAGGGAAGTCCTACTCACTGCCTTCTCTCGAAATGACTGTTGTTTACGAAATTGAAAAGACGAAAAGCAAATGTCCGGCTCTCAAACCGGGTTAGTGAATACGGAGAGTTCATCTAGAGAAGTTGGAAAACTCTGATTTCAGACTAATGGTTCATATGGGCCTCAGTATCCTGAGAGAAAAAGTTGCATATGAACCGGGTGTAATTTCCTAAGGAAACCATTTGTCTTGGCCTGGGCATGAGGGTAGTATCACAGCACTCTCACAAATCAAGTGCCTTATGTGGAGCATACGCATTCGGTGACACTTTGTACTAATATTTATGTGTTCAAATATATACCATGAACCAATAATTTAACAAGCACACAGTGAAACTATCTTATACAAGTTAACCATAAATTAGCTACATAACAAAATTTACTTTAACGTTGATTCTCCCCATCTTGACACTTAATAAGTATCATCAAACAAAATATGCAGGACCCTCATTCAAAACTGATTACATTGATGACCGAGTATATGGTGGTATTTTATTCGATGTCACAAACAACACACACATTTATGTAGATGATGTATTGTTAACTATGATACTTGTCAAGTGTATAATAGTTCGAATTTCAATCAATTTCAATTAGTTGTTATGGCAACAAGCAAAAGGAATATAAATATGCGATAATATTTAAAATGTTAGGAAAGATCTGTTACCAAAGGAAGAGGTGAGTATAACGTTGTTTTTGTTTATCTGTGTTTCTACTGACTTACCCAATCGTGGTACTCACTGAATTTCTTCAGTCAAGGCTTCATCTATTGTCGAAATCCATTAGCTCTCTGTACAATGAAAAGTCATATTGGGTGTTATGCAAATGTCTGTTATAACTTCATTGTGCGACAAGTGAAACTTTGGATACATTTCTAGGTTTTATTACAATAAATTGACACAGTATTCACTTGTCATCTACTGTATATGCTTTTCTGTTCCATAATGACAAACTTTCCATTCCATTAGTTTACATCAACAATGGAATGAGCTGTGCAGGGAGGAGCAAACATTTCTTCATATTCTCCGAAGTTTGAGTAAGGCTGATTTGCTCAAAACTGGTATTCGTGTTACATGAATCAATCTAATCAGACAACAATATATAACTCGAAACTATGAATAACATTGTCAGTAATCAGTGACATTTATACGTCACACCTCACAAGAGTTAAGAAACTGTCACTACTTCCACAGCTTAATCATTCTCAATAACACTTATTCATCAAAGTATTTTGTTACAGATTTGTATGATTGTTTTGTGACAAGAACCATATTCATACTAAACAAATCTTTGCACAAAACAACTCGGTGAATTATAGTTGTCAGTACGTTACTGTTTGATTTGATGATGGATTTCATAGTGTAGTGTTGGGAGCCGGTGACTTGTTGAATCAGGACACTGATTACATACCGTGATGTATTACAAACTAATTATGTTGGAAATACGAACTTGTATATAGACTGATTGATCCGAAACATGTCTTAGTTGGTGTTAGATCCGATGATACTGGGCGGTTTAATGAGAGTTCAAGATTACTCCCTCAAATGTAATGTTTTGAATTCAGATATGTAAGAGACTACACTATTCCTGCATTGTGTATACTTCCACAGTCAATATTTGTTGAATATTCATTGAGTGGAAACTGTGTGCGAATTGCTTTGTGTGCCAAATGCGTGACTTGTATTGAACTGGTTAGTCGAATTCTCGCTAAGTGTTTCCCATGTTGTGTTCTGTTTGACAGGTTTTCAGACTGAACGATGAAGACAATCAAGTGTTTGATATTCCACTTGCTGATATTCTCAGTGCTGTGTGTTCTAGTGAAGGGTTTTGGAAGGCCATCACCTCCGAGATCAGGTGTTAATCATTTGCAACAAGAGTTAAAGAAATTTGAACAAATAGGAGCTAAGCTTGGTGAGGAAATGGAAGTATTGAGTGAACAGATTAATGATCTGATATGTAAGAACGGAAGTGCAAACGTAACAACAGTAAAGCGAAGCCTACAACCAACATTAACATCAATGCAAGGTCAGTCATCAAACAGTCAAAAACAACCTATGCAACAACAACAATATTATCCATCCAATACGATGATGAACAGTCAAATGGGAAAGAGAATCACCAACAATGCACAACAACCAATGAGTGCATACTCTCAAAATTCTAATTTATATAGTAAACAGAGTGGATATGGACAATCCACTGGTCAATCACAAATGATCAAACGTCAACAACAACAATCAAGACCAATACAAGCTCACTCTCCACCACAACGTCATCAACAATATGGAAATCCTGAACAACACCCAGTTTATGAACCACCTCAATATTACGATAACATAGGATGGGGTGAAAATGTACCAGACAGTTATGAGCCTGTTGGTGGGCCATATGCATATGATGATTACGCTGAAGAACAGGATATGGGTGGTGATGATAATATAGAGAAACGTGAAGTGAAATAAACTGAAATTAGATTAAGAATGACAGTTTTGTTGGAGAGTTATATGGAGATATGCTGAAATCCTGTAATTACTTAGATAAATATTGACTGTTTATCTTCGTGTGTTTAAATATAATTCAATAGCTCGATTTCTGTTCAGTGTTTTGTTTTTAGAATAGTCAGAAGTTTCAGGCTTACTATTTGAGCATAGGTTGAAATAAAAATTCACTATAGATCAGTGTTCCACTGTTGATGATGTTAAAGACAACTAGTGTTTTAGTGTTAGTAGGCACAATCTGTGTCATTTCGCTTCCTTGTTTATCTCAGAGCAATCTTATCATTGAGAAGTTGTTGATTACTCAGTTTGACTGGTTGACTGAATCACACGATTAATCGATTTGGATCATCTCAAAGTTGAATTGTTTAAACCCAGTTCGACATGGATGTAGGTCATCGATTGTGTTGTTAAAACTTTGATGAATCGAGAAATGTCACCAAATTGATGGAAATTAAATGTTTACTTGGTGAGGAGTATCAAGTTGATAAATCTCAGAAGTGAAACTAATCGATGTCAGATGGAAAACTTGAATGAATAGGAAATTCCCGTTTGAAATACGAGAGTGACACTTATAGGGACAACGATGTTCATCATGATTTGATGGATATGACTGTTATGAGAAATGACAGAGATGTATACTAAAACAATCAAGAAAATTCTTTTACTGATAATACAGTGAAGCTTAATTTGCAACATGTTGCATGACTGGATGGTTATAGTGTTACTATTCCCCACAGTATGTGAGATAGTAATATAAGTTATGTCTTATTATTTCTCGTTGAGTTTAATGAAATGGTTCGTGTCATGACTTTATAAAAAATAGGATGTATGCCAATTCCTTATTAGTTTTTGTCCGGGTTTTTATCACGTGAATTATCCACCAATCAAAACACAACTTTTGCGATCTTAACGCTGTGATAAATCAATGACGTTCAACTAGTTTGAGCAGTCCAGTGTTCTTATTGGTCCATTGTCCGTCTAGCCCCTCCAATTGAGTCCAGAACACCATTTACAGATTCAGCTATACGAATCATTTATTACAAGCATACTCGGTTTATATACCAAACTGACAGACGGCAGCACTCCAGAAAATACAAAATAATATTTGTACAAGATCAAGCCAAATGTGGCTGTGAACGTGGGATACAATAATCGATAAACTGAATATAATTGAGGGACAGTAATTAGCATAATAATAATTCATAGGTCAAAATGAAGCTTATAATAAGATGAATATAGATATACACAATCTAGTTACTCAACAGTTGAACCATAAGTATATACATAGAACATTTGTCCATTAATAGGTCCCGGAAATTATCCGTAGTTATGTCTTCGCTAGGGTATAACAGCTCGGTGAACAGTGTGAAAGTCTTAATTGTTTTGAGTAATTTGTAATTGAAAGAATGATAGTTATGAATTATGAACTGTGAAATGAAACACTATGAGAATCTGATGTCAAATCTTATGAACACACTAAAAATAATCTAATCACATAGACATCATTATCAGTTTGGTGGTATACCAAGCTGTAGTGTATGAACTAGATACTATCTAAACACTGCATATCTAGTAGTCTATTCACAATGTAGATTATATCTTTCGAGAAGAAACACAAGGTTGTCATCTAAACATAATGACTTTTATAGTGTCACCGACGAACTATTAAAGTGACGTAGGTCAATCTCCATAGAAAATTCAATAATCTATATCACACAGAACAACCTTTGTCTATTCCACGTTACTTCAATAACGATGGTACTATTTCTGGTATGCATTTAGCATATATTTTGTCGAATCATGTCAGCTTGTTGAATAGAAACATTTCACAACTTTCTGCTTCATTATGTGCTACATTGACTCAAGTACACAAATCGCTTGCTATTCATCCATCAACAAGTAGAATGTTGTCAGTAATGACAGATAATCAGAATCATGCATCAAATGATGTAAATCTTTTGAAATAACACCCTCTTTATGAGAACTTGTGAATATTGATAAGAACCAGGTGATTAAGTAATTTCCATTTTCTAAAGTAAATCTCATGAATTTATCCCACATGTTCTCTCCTGTGTAAGGAAACAGTCCTTTCTAAATATCTCGACTTATTATTCCTCGACTTCTTTACATCTCAATTCCAGTTTATGAAATTAGTAGTCTAGCTTCAATAAAACATTGCTTTAACGTATCGGTGACTATGCTTAGTTGTTTGTTGGAGGATGAAAATATCACATTTTTATGATTAAAGGGAATGGACTACTCAGCGCGAATGAAACATCAATGTTAGAATGATATAAAACACAAGACAATAATTTTAATTCAATAGTAATATCTTTTCAGTAATAATTTGAAAATCTAATTTGTACCGATTCAGTGTAAGATCCATTTTGTATTTCCACTATTACAGTTTTGCATTGTACTCGTTGACTAATCATCAAACACCAGTATAGTTTGTATTTTTGGATAATGATCTTAGTATCTCTGGAGGGTGATTCAAACTTTATTTTACCATCGGGTCGCTTTTTTTTATTGAGCAATGGAGTTCAAAATTCTTCTTGCTCAGACTTATCTCACTTATTCTAGGTAGTTATGACAACATACATAACGTATATTACACTTCTCTACTAATTGGATGTCATTACATAACAACTCTATTATACTTTCAAACAGCTCTATCAACAAATTAACTAATGTTGAGCCATACTACTGTTCATCACAAACAACAAAGTAACAGTTTTTAGACACTCATTATCTAACTCCGATATGGACGACTCGTTAATGATATAAATGAAATATGGATCATACTTTCTTTGTATATGTTATATTCACTTGACGAGTATAGAACAACGATATATCAAAATCTAAAATACTAGTGTTTCAGATGTTTATATATTCATTTCGTCAATCTAGCAAGGATAGATGAAACGGTTGTATAAAGCATTGAAGTTAAGTGCTCTGGCACCAGACTGGTAGGTCCTGGCTTCTAATCTAGCGAGGCGAGGTCGTGGATGCACACTTCTGAGGAGTCCCACAATAGGAGGAAACGGCTGTCCAGTGCTTCCAGGTTCTCCTCGGTGGTCTAGCTTCAATAGACTTATGTTTTTGAATACAAAAAGTGGGTTTGAATTTTCGTGTGGCTAAGGCTCCAATAAACCTTAGAATACACCTTTTTACACTTTTATACAACATCACAAAAGCCGAGTTAAGATCAATCTTATGGCCTGTTTCGATTTTATGTTTGGCAATTGAAGATGATATATGTTCATCCTCTACTCTTATCGGGTGATTTGATTCTATTTGTTTCTGCATCCATTTTGGAACATGTTCACATACCCTAATTTTCAGATCACGATTGCTCCTCCCTATGTAACCGTGACCACACATACATTTAAACTGAATATAATTAACTTACACTAAATTGCATAATCATTATTACATAATAAAAGATAAAGTATAGAGTGAATAAAAAAAAATGTAAAAAACTTCACTTAGTATTATTTGTTTGAATCTTCCCATTGATGTTTAGGACTGCAACTGGTCTGTCTCTTATTGGCCATTTATACATACTGTGTGTATTGCCTCGATATAGCCTCGATTCACAAACATTATGAGCAAAGATGGATAGTGGCTAATAGTGGAATCCAGTTTGACGCCCGTTTCGTCCTATTTCGGACTCGTCAGCTGGATGTACCTACCAGATCTCAGAGTCGATGTTCACTCTGGGACTCGAACCAAGTACATTTCACTCCAAACGACATCGCGTTATTTACTCAGCTACTGAGTCCTGATAGCCACTTGCTTGTGCAATGGGGTGAAGTTTAAATTCACTTAGTATTGTTTGTCTAAATCTTCCCATTTATGTTTAAGACTGCAATTGATCAGTCTCTTATTGACTAAAGGTACTGGGTTCGAGTCCCAGAGTGAACATCAACTCTGAGATGTGACAGGTACATCCAGCTGACGAGTCCCAAATAGCGCGGAGTGTAGCTCTAACCACTATCCATCTTTGCTATGTAAATGTGAAAAAAGTTTAGATTATTTTAATAAAGTTATATTATATAAACATTATATATAAACATGACAATCAATAAAAAAAATCACCAGTATACATATGATTTCATTAGTTCATATGGTAACTAAAAAACTAATCAATAAAATGTTTAAATCATTTCTCTCCCTTATTTTAATCTCCAAGTTGTGATATGTATCCATTTTGTTCATTCATTGGTACCTTATCAAAGAATTGATAATTATTATTATCTTGTTGATAATTATTTAATCTTTCTAATGGTCTATAAATATTAGGATATGTATCCAATGATTGAAATTCTTCTCGAATCATATTCCCCCTAATTTGCCTTTTAATAGGATTTAATGGTCGTTTAATTTGTGGAGGATTATAGGTGGAATTATATTTTTTAGTTGCTGGTTGTTTTGAATTACGTTGAGGAACTTTGGTTGGTGGCTTATTAGGGTGTTTTTGTACAGTTTTGTGAACAGTATTATGTTTTACTACTGTTTTACTTGATGACTTTGAGCTTCGTGCTTGTGCTAATTCCCAATAACTGATTATTAAAATAAGTATGATCAAAAATGTTAGTAAAGTGATTGTTCGCGATTTAGATGTCTGCATGATGGAATGTATTCAACCTGCGATTTTTGAGAAAAGAAAATATGGGTAAATAAATTAATGGAATTTATCATAGTTGAAATCATGAGATAATTGAAGCTAGACCACCAGGGAAAACCAGTAAGCACTGCTTGACGGCCAACTCGTCCTATTATGCGACTTCTCAGCAGTGCGCATCCACGATTCTGCACTCGTGAGATTCGAATCCAGGACCTGAAAGTCTCGCACCAGAACACTTAACCGATAGACCATTGAGCTGGTCGGCAACCAATGTCTAACTTCAACCAATCCATGCTTAGGAGTCCCATAATAGGACGAAACGGCCGTCTAGTACCTCCGGGTTTTCCTTGGTGGTCTAGCTTCGATTGACCTACGCTTTCAAGTATGAAAATACTAAATCTTCACAAAAACCCTTCTGATAACGGAATTTAGTTGATTTATACCATATGGATTGTTTTCACTTGTTAGTTATTATTTTTAAAAAAGCAATTGATTGATCACTGAGTGGTGATCATCAATATCATGCTTGCCAAACAGATAGACTCCTATTGATAAAGTTGCAATATGGCCACTAGTTTAGGTGACTTGATCTGTACTATGGACTTGACATACATGACACTGATCACCACCCAATGATCAATCCATTGTAAATACATCTCAGTCCTACAGGAGGTAAGTCGTCGCCCGGATAGCCCAGTGGTAACGTATCTGATTTTGAAGCTGGGAGCATCAGTTCCCTTAAGAATACAGGTACACCTTGCTGACGAGTGCCAAGTAGCACGAAACCTAGGTTCAGGGTTTACTGTGGACTACTTCCAACCACCATCTCATAAAAGAATGCTTACATGTTAGGAAATAAATTAGACCTCACCTATAAGTGTGTATGAGTGTGATATTACTTATGGAACTAATAATAAATTTAAAAAATGTTATTGAGAGGAATGTATATATAAACAAGAGAAACGATAGCCAAAATAACTTCGGAATCCAGACATCTTAAACACAATGGACGATGGCAAATTAAAATCCGATACAATTAAGACATCTGATAATGCGTGAAATTCCTTCAAAAATGGAAAACTAAGGTTTTGTCTATTATCTGAGTGGAAGTCTTTTTAATATTTAAACTGAATTATATTGAATGGTTGGGTAGTAAGCTTGTAGCCAACCTAAGCACCACATTACTTCACAATCAATTAACCTGAGGATTCGGTGTTGGGTTAATCCATGTTTACTAGTAGTTAGTAGGGGAATCCTTGTTAGTTTCGTTTCCTCCGCTTAGTGATATGCTTAAATTCAACAGGTTATCACGTCTGATCCAAGATTAAGGGCAGTTATATACTTCGTGTATGATACACACACTAACGGTATAAATAATAGACCAGACCGTAGAGAAAATGAAGCTGTTAACGTAGCATACGATAGGTCAGATTTTTCTCAAGCGCGTATAGTGTCACTAAATCACGACTCGAGCACAACCCACTATATCATCTCAATCCATTCATCTAGAATGGGCCAAATTCTTAGGACCGGCGACCCGCCTTGATATAGGGCTTTACATGTTGTCAGACACTCACCGAATCCACGATTCATTTTGCGTTGTAATACTTGAAAAGCCAACCATCTGTCAGGTGTGGTCACAGGATATCCAGTAGTATCAATATGCGTTCAAGGTGTCGATATTCAAGGAAGTATGCAGTTCACATCAACTCACACAATTGGCTGCACTCTTCATCAACACACGAGCTGAGTGATTCACCGCTTAAAGTTGTTCGCCAATAATCCTACACATTGGTTTCCTAAATGCATAAAACTAATGGTTTACACAACAGAGTTCGATGGGGAATGCTGATGTGCGGTCTATGTTCCTTCACGAGGAGTAACGGGCGTAAGTCAGTTGGATACAATATGAGTGTATTCAAATATATAAACTATTGAATGTTAAAATGAAATATTTCAATAATTGCATAAAACCATGAAAGAACAATACGATACTTACTTATTATTTCAATGAATAGAACCTTACAAGTAATATGAAGACGATAATATATTTATACTTTATGGATTTGTTTCTCATAACAACCAATTGGCATCCCGTGGTTACCAGCAATTACAGTATGATATACAAATTAGAAGAACCTTGTAAAAATTGACCTTTATTTATTAGTAACCAAGGTATTACTTGGAATGCATTTGTTTGGATAATTTCTGATAATGATGGTTTGACATATGTATCTAACAGTCATTTTCAAAATGAGTTATTTAGATTAATTATATCTGTATACAGCTGTTTTTAATTTTGTGATCAAGGAATTCTTTTTGTAATCATTAGTGACTAGCTTCGTGGAGGAATTCTCGGAGTTCTAGTGAAAAGTCGTGTCTAATGGAGCTAATCCATGTTAGGTAGAGACAGGTATCTACTGGGTGTATCTACTTCAGTACAATGGAAGATGATCGCGCAATTTCGTGGATTATTTGAAGTTAAACATTGACACTTTGTATATTGTATAACTATTCAGTAACTGGATTATATATATCTTGACCTATAGACTTCTGCTATGCAATTTACTACTATGAAATTATACTCATTTAATTAATTACAATCTCCCACTTTTTGGCTTCATCTCGTACGAATGTTATTTTATAGAGCTGGGATCATGAGTCAGTTGAAGCTAGACAACCATGGAAAACCTGGAAGCACTGGACGGCCAACTCGTCCTATTATGGGACTCCTTAGCAGTGCGCATCCACGATCCCGCACTCGTGAGATTCGAATCCAGGACCTACCAGTCTCACACCGAAGCACTTAATCGATAGACCACTGATCCGGTCGGCATCCAACGGTGCTAATGTCTACCTTCAACCAATCAATGCTTAGGAGTCCCATAATAGGACGAAACGGCCGTCCAGTGCTTCAAAATTTTCCATGGTGGTCTAGCTTTAATTGACTCATGATTTCAACTCTACAAAATTACTAAAATCTCCACAAAACCCCTTATGAAATTATTATTTCCTATTTTATGATGTGATATGGTCCGTTTAACTTCACCTGTAGCTCTTCTAGAGTTACTGCCGGTCCCAAGCCCGGGTAAAGGAGGAGGGTTGGGCATGGGGTTAGCTACCCCATCCCGTAGAAAAGCTATCTCGCTAAAAAAACGCTAACCAGAAAAATATATTCAAACCATTTAAACTCTGCCCTGGGAGTTGAAGGAATAATGACGTCTCATGATGAAAGCCGAAATTCTTCGGAAGTCACGAGACCGATGCACCTCCTAACAACCAGAGCAACACTCTTTATAGGTACATGGAACGTCCGGACAATGTGGGAGACAGGAAAGACCAGCCAAATAGCAATGGAAATGAGGAGATACAACTTGGCAGTACTCGGAATCAGCGAAACCCATTGGACACAAACTGGACAACAAAGGCTAGGTACAGGAGAGATGCTGCTGTACTCTGGTCACGAAGAGGAAAATGCTCCACACACTCAGAGAGTTGCTCTAATGCTGTCCAAAGAAGCACAAAATGCACTTGTGGGATGGGAATCTCATGGACCCAGGATAATCAAAGCATCATTCAGAACAAAGAAGCAAGGGATCACAATGAACTTTATCCAATGTTATGCACCCACCAATGATAGCAACGACGATGATAAAGATCAGTTCTATGAAAGGCTGCAATCAATTGTAGCAAAGTGCTCACGAAAGGACCTCACCATCCTGATGGGAGATCTAAATGCTAAAGTTGGAGTGGACAACACAGGATATGAAGATATAATTGGACGACATGGACTAGGAGGAAGAAATGAAAATGAGGAGAGACTTGCAAACCTATGTGCTTTCAACAAATTGGTTATAGGCGGCACAATATTCCCACACAAACGCATACACAAAGCTACATGGATCTCACCGGACCACACCACAGAGAACCAGATAGATCACATCTGTATCAACAAAAAATTCCGAAGATCAATGGAAGATGTAAGAACCCTGAGAGGAGCTGACATAGCTTCAGATCACCACCTGGTTGTGGCCAATATGAGACTGAAGCTTAAGAAAGACTGGACAACTGGACAAACAGCACTACAAAGGTTTAATACAGCCTTCCTTCGAGATGCTGACAAGCTCCATGAATTCAAGATAACTCTCAACAACAGGTTCCAAGCTTTACAGGATCTACTGAAAGAACAAGAAACTACTTTGGAGGACAACTGGAAAGGGATAAAAGAAGCACTAACTTCAACGTGTCAGGAGGTTCTTGGTCCTAAGAAGCATCATCACAAGGAATGGATCTCTATGGGAACCCTGGACAAAATTCAAGAAAGGAAGAACAAGAGACTATCAATTAACAACAGCCGAACACGAGCAGAGAAATTCAAAGCACAAGCAGACTACGCAGAAGCAAACAGGGAAGTGAAGAAAAGCATTAAAGCCGACAAGCAGAAATACATGGGAGAACTAGCAACGACAGTGGATAAAGCTGCAAGTGAAGGGAATATGAAACAACTATATGATACAACAAAGAAATTGGCAGGGAGATATAGAAAACCAGAGAGACCAGTCAAGGACAAAGAAGGAAAGACAATCACTGAGATTCAAGAACAGAGGAAAAGATGGGCAGAATACTTCGAGGAACTGCTGAATAGACCAGCACCATTGAATCCACCGAACATCGAAGCAGCCCACACAGACCTTCCAATAGATGTCACTCCATCAACGATCGAAGAAGTCAAGATGGCCATCAGACAAATCAAAAGTGGGAAGGCAGCAAGACCTGACAATATACCAGCAGAAGCACTGAAGTCAGACATTGAAATAACTGCAAACATGCTTCACCTTCTATTCAAGAAAATTTGGGAAGAGGAACAAGTGCCGACGGACTGGAAAGAAGGGTATCTCATCAAGATACCAAAGAAAGGAGATCTGAGCCAATGTGAGAATTACAGAGGCATCAGTTTGTTATCAGTACCAAGAAAAGTTTTCAACAGAGTGCTGCTGAATCGG